CTTTATTGTACTTGGCTCAGTGCACTAGACCCAACATTTCCTTCGCTATTAATCTTTTGGCAAGATACAGCAATGCGCCCACACGCAGGCACTGGAATGGTGTTAAAGACATTTTTTGCTACCTCAAGGGTACTATGGATTTGGGCTTGTTCTATACCCACAATTCTCCGAGTATGGTCCTCGGATTGATTCTCGCCTTGTTGGTTACGCAGATGCTGGATATCCGTCTGACCCACATAGGGCATGTTCTCAAACAGGTTATGTCTTTACCGTTAGAGACACCACTATATCTTGGAGGTCTACCAAGCAAACGCTAGTTGCAACTTCATCGAACCATGCTAAAATTCTCGCCCTACATGAAGCATCGCGTGAGTGCTTTTGGTTGAGAGAAATTATGGAACATATTCAAAGCACTAGTGGTCTTACATCAATCGTTGACCTTCTTGCGACAATCTTTAAAGACAATGCAGCATGTATCGAGCAGTTAACTAAGGGATACATCAAGGGAGACAAAACCAAGCACATAGAGCCTAAGTTCTTTTACTCACACAAACAACAACAGCATCAGAACATTAAAGTCAAACAAATATGTTCCCAAGACAACCTGGCCGATCTCTTCACCAAGTCATTGCCCAAGTCTACATTTCAGAAGCTCGTCCAAGGAATCAATATGCGTAAATTATCTGAGTTGAATCGCTTGTAGTTCTCTTATTCATAAGTTATGTCAAACTCAGGGGGAGTATCTAGAAGCATACTCACATGATCTTAATATACTCTTTTTCCTACGATTAGAAGCATTTTTCCCACTGGGTTTTTGCTACCTAACGAGGTTTTAACGAGACACTCATCCTTGGATGATCATACTCCGTTGAATTCACTACTTTCATCTTATTTGACATTTGTTTTATACAGTATGCATACTTCTCACTTTTCTCATTCGTTTATGGGTTTTCCCTATGCCTTGGGTTTTACCATAACGAGGTTTTGTGAGTTTTACTATAAATGCATACTTCACTCAAATTTGAGACTTGCGATCACCCGTTGTGCCGATGACTTCATCAACTATTCTACCTTATCTGCTGAAGATCTAATGCGATGGTTTGTTGAGTATTTACACACTCAAGGGGGAGTGTTGCAGTCATATTTAGAATAGGAATGTGATTGTGTAAATCCTAGGGAATCTGGAAATGTATCTTATATTCCTATTAGGATTAGATTACCTATTAAATGTTGTAATCCTAAAGGGAAAGGTTTTACCTATCCTACTACAATAAATAAAGGCACAATGGGATGAATCAAACACACCTCACAATTAAATCAATCTCTCTTCTCCCTCAATATTGTCGGCCCCTTCTCTCTCTCTAAACCCTAGATTGTTCAATCAAATAGGCCTACAACACCATGATAATTGTTGGTGACTATATATAATATTGTACACAAATCATGATACAATATTGTTATTAGTAGTTTAAAATAATTATTTTGCAATTATTATTTCTTATATTTGTAGAGAGAAGTACATAAAAACTATTTTAAAGTGAAAACCATAGTTCTGGTCCAAACCCTAAGGGTCTGTTTAGTATCTTTTAATTTCATCATTTTACAAAAAGATTTCTTAAGAACATCTCTTAAGACCAATTTTCTTTAAAATTCAAAATTTTGTTTGGTATGAAATTCACAATTGTTTTTAAAGAAAAAAAAAATACTCATCCTACAATGGGAACTTCTAAATTCAACAAAGAGAAAGAGGAGAGAGGGCAAAGAGGAATAGGAAAGAGAGAATGAAAGAAAGAAAGAAAGAAAGAAAGAAAGAAAGAGAAAGAAATAGGAGAGTGAATCAGAGGTGAGATAAGGGAGGAGAGAGATGAGAGAGAAAAGAGAGGATCGAAAAAGAGATAATTGGAGGAGCGAGAGAAATGATAGAGATAAAAGAGAACATATTAGGTGTGAGAGGAAAGGGAAGAGAGAAAAAGTGAGTTTAAATTTAAAAACTTTAAAAAACACACTTTTGGTGTTTTTAAGAAATAGGCTAATTCTTAAGTTAGTTTTGAGTTCAATTTTTAAAAATAGTCGTACTAAACAAGTTTTTAACACTTAAAACTTGAAAAATGTTTTTGAGTTTCAAAAGTTAGATTCAAATAGAATATCAAACAAACCCTAAATTTGTTGGCAACTTATTTGAGGTTATGATGCAATTGCAGGTCGCAAACTTCCACCCTGCACATAACAAAAGGGTATTACGTGGCCACTCAGTACTACGGTCTAGTGATATTCATCTTCATATATAAGAAAGAGGTCTTAGGTTGGATTTTTACCAAAGATGAATTTGAACTATATTGTTGCTAGCATATTATGATGCTAGACCTAATTCCTTATCCTTAATGTAGATAATCTTGTTTATTCAAAAAAAAAAAAAAAAAAAAAAAAAGAAGGTATTACGTGAGAAAGAGGTTGGAAATAGGCAAATACTTATGGACTAAGCTGCCCTACTACCTCCAAGATCCCACCCTCTATCCTTTCTTCTATATAATTTAAGGAAAATAGAAAGTTGGGACACCTTCCTCCGAAGTGACGGATTTACCCTTGAGCACCTTCCTCTTTTGACTCCGTCACCGATATTCTTTCTCCAATCCGAAAGACCATCACTCCCCTCATCCACTCCTTAAACGCGCTTTGATGACAATCCTACCCCTCGTCACTTTCTCAGAAACCCCAATGGCAGCTTCAACAAAACAACAGACCGACTGACTCCCCCTTCTCTGTACCTGAGTTGTCTCGCATGGCCTCTCTTTCTTGGAAAACCCAACCCCCCCTCCCTTTATGTACTCCCCCACTTCTCTCTTTCCCCACCAACAAACATACCCTTTCTCTCACTCATCATTTTTCAAACTCCTCTCTCTCTCTCTCTCTCTCTCCTCCAAATTGTCAATGGCTTCCCAGCAAAACCAGCAATCCAATTTCCAAGACTTGTTGCCCACCATGGCCGACAAGCTTGGCGGGGACGGTTTAATAGGCGAGCTCTGTAATGGGTTCAATTTGTTGGTGGATTCTAGCAAGGGAGTCATCACCTTCGAGAGTCTCAAGAGGAACTCTGCTCTTCTGGGGTTGCAGGATCTGAGCGACGACGATCTACGGTCCATGTTGGACGAAGGTGATTTCGACGGAGACGGCGCTCTCAATCAGATGGAGTTCTGCGTTCTCATGTTTAGATTGAGTCCTGAGCTCATGGACGAGTCCAGACTCTGGCTTGAAGATGCTCTTCAAACGGGAGTTTAAACACTCTCATTGATTTGGGTTTTTGTTCTTTAAGACATATAGAGATTCTCTGATCTGGGTTTTTTGTGTTTTTATTTTCGGTGATTGTAGTCTGTCCCTATGGAATTACTGGGAAAGAAAAATACAGAAATGCAATTGACGGTTAACAACTTGACACATACTTTGTTTTTGATTCTCGGGTGATTCGGTTGTTTTGATCAAATGTTGAATGAATGATTTTAACGCGTTTTCACACATTGCATTATTTTTATTTTTATTTTTATTTAATGATCTTTAATTTAATTTTTTTAATAAGAATAATTTATATTGTAATTAAGAAATTGAACGATTTAATTAAATTTGTGAAAGTGAAAAAAAATAGCGCTGTTATTATCCATGCAATAGGGATAATGTACCTCTTAATTGACTAAAATGTTAAACATTAATTGTTTTGGCATTTTTTAGTGATATGAGTTTTATATAAGATTTAATTATTGTGAAATTCTATCGGATCTCTATATAAGTCTTCACCGTTAATTTTTCAAACCAGTAGCAGCCGTGAAGGGAAAAACATGAACGTTGAATGAATTTTTTTGATATAAAAATTTAGACTAGTCAGCACTAATTAATTCTTGGAATATGACTTCTGCAGAAAAGGATGAGCGAAATGTCAACTCGGTTAGGAAGGTTGTGGATATCATAACAAGTTGGAGTTTGAATTCTTTTAAATATTTTTATTTAAAATTTAATATAAATAGTATTTGATAAAATTTAACCGCACGATATACGATAGATAGATATGATTTACAGATCTTCAGAATCCTCACTAAATAAAGCCGTTTTTTTTAAACAACAATTTATGCTAAGACAATTTTATTTATCCACACAAAACTTGATTGGGACAGTTTGGTTCTGGTATATTCCAATGTCTTAACAAAAACAACAAGCAAAATCAACCGTCAAAAAGGCCTCAAGGTTCATTCTTCGCAGATTGCATGGCAAACTTGAAGGTCCAGTGGCAGCTTTGATATACCACAACAAATACAGTACCAATTTTGGCAAAAAATTCAAAAGCAAAAGAGGATCGTGTTTTCCCTTGCAATATTAACGCCCAAATTGATAGGATACTGCCAAGTGGCTTAATAAGATGATGACATGTGTACATGGTTGTTAGTAGTTGGAAGATAAATAGCAGGTTGTAGCAATTGGAAAGGAGTTAATGATTGTGGAAGATGTAGAGTAGGGTTCTAACACTCATCTTCTGGTTTTCCTCCTAATCGGAGAAGATAGGCAACCAAATCTCCTCTGTAAGTTGTCGTTTTCAGGGCTTCGAGTTCCTGCTCCTCAGAATTTGTGGTCTTCTGATTCTTTTCCGGTGCTCTTCACGCACAAAAGCAGCGACTGCAGAGGGGCGGATTCTCGTTCTCAGTCCTTGCTCCGCCGTCGCTTCGCCGGTGAATGAAACCACAAGGGGTTTTCTCAATTATCTTGTACTTGAATCAAATCAGTAGTCAAGGAGAGGGAGCACAAGAACAAATATTTTATGGGTGGTCTTTGTTTTTCGTTTATGATCAGCGCTAACTTGTTCTTCTTGTCATCAACAATTTCCCTTGCAGTTGACGGCATTACACCTTCGCAGTCTGTCCTTGACGGAACGACGTTGGTTTCAAGTGATGGAAGCTTTGAGCTCGGTTTCTTTAGTCCGGGTAGTTCCAAGAACCGTTACTTGGGAATTTGGTTCAAGAATGTCCCGGTTAGGAACGGTTGTTTGGGTTGCAAACAGATGCAACCCCATCAATGATTCTTCCGGCGTGTTGATGATAAACAGCACAGGTAATCTTGTGCTTTTGAGTCAGAATAGCAGCGTTGTTTGGTCGACGAGTTTAGTTAAACAGGCCCAAAATGCGACGGTAGAGCTCTTGGATTCCGGGAATTTGGTGCTAAGAGATGCAAAAGATGGAAATTCAGGAACTCCTTTGTGGCAAAGCTTCGACTATCCTTCCGATACATTATTACCAGGAATGAAGTTGGGGTGGGACTTGAGAACAGGCCTAAAACGGCATTTGTCAGCATGGAAAAATTCAGAAGATCCCGTGTCCCGGAGATTTTACTTACGGAATTGAAATGCAACTTCAAGCATATCCTGAGGCATATATTCTGAACGGAATTACAAAATTCTTTCCGCACCAGCGCATGGAATGAACTGACAATCTGTGGTTCACCCGAACATCCTAGTCCTCGTTATAGTTTCAATTTTGTCTACAACGACGATGAAGTTTACGTCACATACAAACCGAAGATTGAGTCGATACTGTCAAGAGTGGCTTTGAACCAAACCACCAGCACATGTGCTCGGTTTCAGTGGAAGGTGGGATATCAAGCTTGGCAGGATTTTTCATCAAGACCTACAGAATCATGTGATTATTATGGCTTCTGTGGAGCCAATGGAAATTGTACCAGTGAGGATCCGGTCTGCAAATGTATACAAGGATTCAGCCCCAAGTCTCAAGAAAAGTGGAATTTAGCAGACTGGTCTCTAGGTTGCGTGCGCAATAAACCATTAAGCTGCCATGAAGGAGATAAAGATGAGTTTCTCAAATTTGATGGCTTCAAATTGCCAGATACTACAAATTCTTGGGTGGACAAAAGTATGAATCTCAAGGAATGCAGAGACAAATGCTTGAAAAACTGCTCCTGTACTGCTTATACGAGCTCAGATATCGGAGGAGGAAGTGGTGGCTGCACCATCTGGTTTGGTGATCTAATAGATATCAAACAGGTTCCTGTTGCTGGAAAGGAAATATATAATTCGAACGTCAGCTGCTGAAATAGGTATCGAACTATACAAAACAAGCTTCGTGTTTATACTTTTATGTCACTTATTGTAGTTCAACTATTGTTTTTCAACATGTTTCAATAAGTTGGTTTTGTTTCTCGCAAAGTTGAACTGACCCTGCTATTTTTTTTCTGCTTGCTCCATTTTAAATTTGTCTTCTTTACTTAATCAGTCAACAATGAAGGAGAAAACAGCAGAAAAGTGAAGATTGCAATTATAGTTGTTGGCATAGCAATAGTGTTTTCCGGAGTGCTGTTAGTTGGCTATGTCATTCGCCGAAGAAAGAGAAAAAATAAAGGTATATTAGCTTACCCTGACCATCCTTCAAGCATTTGTCAATTTTGTTTGTGTTTGGATATGCGTTTTTGAGGGAACGGGATTTTATCGAGTTTATATTGCGTGGAACCGTATATGTAATCTATCTGCACATTTAAGTTTTAGTTTGGTTACTACATCTAGGCTATAGCTAACAGGAACCCCGTCACAGAAATAAGGGAAAGAAATGAGGACAATGAAGGGGCTCCAAGAGGGGACATGGAGCTCCCACTCTTTGACCTGATGACAGTAGCTAGGGCCACGGATAACTTTTCAAGCAATAAAAAGCTCGGAGAAGGTGGATTTGGCCCTGTTTACAAGGTAGATTTCTAATTTACTCTACAATAATGAACAGACTAACAAACAATCATTCCATGAGGACCTTCACAATTTTGGAAATTGAGTAACTTTCCAGGGGACGCTGGCCGACGGACAAGAAATTGCTGTGAAGAGGCTTTCAAGAAGTTCTAGCCAAGGATTGAACGAGTTCATGAATGAAGTTATATTGATTGCCAAACTCCAGCACCGAAATCTGGTAAGGCTTCTTGGTTGTTGCGTTCAAGGAGAGGAGAAATTGCTACTTTATGAATACATGCCCAACGGAAGCCTAGACTCCTCCATTTTTGGTTTGAACCTTTGGACCCTATAAGTTTATGCAAAACTAATTATTGCTTGGTTGCTTTAAAATAATAATCATATGTAGGCCATTAAGCAATTTGTATTGAAAATTGAAGTTGAATTTGGATTTAACTTGGCCAGATGAAACGAGAAGAGAACTGTTCGATTGGCCTAAACGTTTCAACATTATATGTGGCATTGCTCGAGGTCTCGTCTATCTCCATCAGGATTCTAGGCTAAGGATTATTCATAGAGATCTCAAAGCAAGTAATGTTTTACTTGATAATGAAATGAATCCGAAAAATTTCAGACTTTGGCCTAGCTAGATTATGCGAAGGAGTACTGTACAACGCGTATAGGTGTTTCTGAATATAAGCATGTTTTTTTGTTTACTTAGCACTTTTATGTTAAGTCAATTTTGGATTTCTTGCTTCTGGTTTTGGTGTTATGTTTGTACCATACTTGACCAATCCCGAAACTACCGAGCACCGGCCAACGCTATACTGTCAAGGACCCAGAAGAGTTCCCCTCCGACCAGGAGGCCAATCACTACTCGACACGTGTCAAGATTAGAAGCCAATCAGAGCGCAGCACGTGTCGACATCAAGAACCAATCATAACATGACACATGTCAATGTGACAAAGCTACAAGTTTTTCTATAAAAATAGGGGTCATTCCCCCACAATATTGCCTAATGCCATTTTGTGTTAAATCATTCACAAGAACTCACTAAATTGAGAGCTTGATCCTTTGTACTTGTGTAAGCCCTTCACTACTAATAAGAACTCCTCTACTCCGTGGACGTAGCCAATCTGGGTGAACCACGTACATCCTGTGTTTGCTTCTCTGTCTCTATTCATTTACGTACTTATCCTCACTAGTGACCGAAGCAACCAAGCGAAGCGAAGGTCACAAAACCTGACACTTTCTGTTGTACCAAAGTCTTCGCTGATTTTGTGCATCAACAACATTTGGCGCCGTCTGTGGGAAACGACACTTATTCCTACTCTCTTCAGCTGTGTCAAGCTGGTTTCTATCATTCGTACACTTTCTTTTGACCAGGCATCCCTCTCCAACATGGGAAGCGAAGGAAGCCACAGCACACAGAATGACACCCCCCTTGCACATAGTGCGAAACAACGAAAGAAGGAAGGAAAACGAGTTCTTCTTCAAGCTAAAGTCGATGAGTTGGAAGCTCAGAACAACAAGATAGCAATGAGGAATGAGGTCCTCCAGGAGCAATATGAGAAGCTCTTCGAGACACTCCACGAAGCTAGGCAAGCTCAGACACGCGAGCTTGTTGCCCCCGTGGAAGTCAACCATCAACTGGGTGCCCTCCAACATGGAGGGTCACATGCATTCGACATAGATATCCCTGATAGGGAACAGATTACCCCTCGACTTGATAATCAACATGAGGCTTCTCTTAACCCAGTTGCTTCGACCCGAACCATGAGAAGTGGAGGGAGACACCTCTTTGCTGAAGGGGCAGAAGGATCGAAAGCCGTCTTTCGCGATTGTCGGGATTTCCTGAAGCAACGTCGAGAGAATTCCATCCATATAAGCTCAAAGATCAATGACCCAAGGATTTCTGAGAGACTCGGTCCCCTGCCACGGCCCGAAGCCGGCCACCAATTTGGGGAAGGGGCAACAAGTCCTAGAGAGACATGAGGGTACAGGGGACTCAGAGGTGTTCCGACAGACATACCCTGGAAGCCAGTACAACGCGAGTCCAGGGAAAAATCACATGCCCTTGATCAAACCTTCCTAATTCCAAGAGGAGATGGAGATTTACGAAAGAAAGCTCCAGTGGCACATAACTCCGCTCAGGACCCCCTTGTCCTACAACTTCTTGAGGAAGTAAACAAGTTGAAGGCTGAACGTCAGGCTGAAATACCTGACTGGAACCAACCCAGGCCTGGCCCTCTTACAAGGAGGATCCTCAACACCCCCCTTCAAGCAAAGACAAAGCAAAAGCTTGGCTTGCAACTTTATACTGGAAAAGAGGACCCGATTGAGCACCTTAACCTCTTTGAGTCCACCATGGCATACCGGATGCACACCGACGAAGAGCGATGTCTTCTCTTCCCCTCCACCCTCTCTGGTGGAGCTCTAAATTGGTATTGTCGTCTTACACCTGAGACGGTAGACTCATTTGAGGAATTGAGGAAACTATTTGTTTCCCAACACATTTTCCAAACCGATCGCTTGCACTCTGCAGATGACCTTGTACACTATCCGCCAGAAGCCAGACGAGTCATTACGTATGTATGCTGGCCGCTTCAGCCATGAATACTCCCGGTGTGCCGAGGCAGACGACAAGACTGCCCTCAAAGCCTTCACGGCAGGCCTACGTGATTGTTTCTTTAAATACATGATCAATGCCAATACTTGGAAGACTTACTCTGAGGTGATGGCGCAGGCTTATAACCATGCCTCCGCCGAGGCAAAGACATATCAGGAGAAACCCCCTACAACCATCCTTTATCAACAAGTGGGAGGTGGAAGCCAGACTCACCTAAATGAGAAGACCTCGACTTTCCAAACAGCAGTGGCACCTCCCCATGCCTTGCATAATGCTTCGCCGAATCAACAGACATATCAATTTCAAGGCAAGAGGAAGGATTTCCATCCTCACCACTCTCCTTTCAGTAAAAAGAGTAAGTAAGGGACACTATCCCGATAACCAAGGGTATCGCCACAATAACGCTCGCCCCCAGGCAGTCAATGCAGTGGGTCAAACCCGCGTCAAGATACCCCCTACCCCAAGGTATGAGACATACACGCCCTTGAATGCCACATGCGCGGCCATTTACCCCAGCATAGCTCACCTGATACCAAAGCCAAAGCCGAGGCACCCAGATTACACGCCCCCGAATAACGCGGGCATGTTTTGTTGCTACCATGAGCATAACGGCCATGATAGCGAGAAATGTATCATCCTCCGTGATCGTATTGAAGCTTTGGCACGAGAAGGAAAAATTGATCAATTCCTCCTTCACCCTCAAAGGGATAACCGTAACCAACGCCAGGTGAATGTCATATATTCCATAAGCGGCGGCACACCCATATCTGAATCTTCCAATAGGGCCATGAAAAACAGTGAACGAATTCTGAGGCCTGGTCACCAAGTGTTTCACGTGGAAGACATCAGGGGAGGGAAGTATCAAAAGCCTAACTGGGATCCGATATGTTTCTACCCTGAGGAAGAAAGAGGCATCATCTACCCTCATAACGACCCATTGATCGTGGAGGCTCACATAGCCAACTTTGATGTTCGACGAATCCTCGTAGACACAGGGGCTTCGGTCAATATCATGTTTGCCGAAGCTTTCAGGGCACTCAGTGTAGCTGAACACTTGCTCGATCGCTCGATTTCTCCTCTGATAAGCTTCTCCGGTGATATCGTGCAACCCTTAGGGAGCATACATTTACCCTTTACTATTGGTACAGGCCCTTACACGGCTACCATTACCACTAACTTCCTAGTGGTTGACTGCCCAACGGCATACAATGTCATCTTTGGGCGCACAGGCATCAATGATCTCAAGGCTATGGTATCCACGCATATGCTGTTGATGAAATTTCCAACCCCCCATGGCAACGGCTACATCAGAGGAGATCAGCTTAGTGCACGATCATGTTACAACACACTTCAGTTAAGCAACAACACTTGCCCGGACCCAAGGAAACCCTGTCTGTACATGACCAAGTCACAAAGACCAGCCTAGATGAAGCGAACTTGGATCTTCCTGATAGCAACAATCAACCCGATGATCCTCGAGATGACTCTTTCACCCAGCAAGCCCAACCTGCTGAAGAGTTGGAGAAGGTACCTATCTCAAGAGATTATCCAGATCGCATGGTGAAGATTGGCACCACATTGTCACCACCCCTTCGGTTAGCATTGATATCTTTTTTGAAAGAGAACACTGAAGTCTTCGCCTGGTCATACGAGGACATGCCAGGCATCTCTCCCGATGTCATCTGTCATCGTTTGAGTATTGACCCCAAGATCAAGCCGGTGAGACAGAAGCGAAGATCTTATGACGCTGAACGATACGAGGCAATGAAAGCAGAAGTTGAAAAACTCAAAGGCATAGGCTTTGTCCGCGAAGTCAATTACCCGACATGGGTAGCAAATGTGGTCCTTGTTAAGAAAAATCCGACCAAAGAAAGTCTTTTGCTTCAAAAGGTCTTGTGGAGAATGTGTGTTGACTACACCGACCTAAACAAAGGGTGTCCGAAAGATAGCTTCCCTCTTCCTCTTATTGACAGACTTATAGACTCTACGGCCGGGTGTGAACTCCTGAGCTTCATGGATGCTTACTCAGGATACAACCAAATCCTCATGAACCCTTCGGATCAAGAACACACACAGCCTTCACTACCGACAGAGGACTATACTGCTATAAAAGTCATGCCTTTCGGCCTAAAGAATGCAGGAGCGACTTATCAGAGACTAGTCAACTCAATGTTCGCCGAGCAGATTGGGAAGAGCATGGAAGTTTACGTTGATGATATGTTAGTCAAGAGCAAACATGCTGACCAACACATCACCAACCTATCTGAAACTTTCACTATTTTGAAGAGGTATCGAATGAGGTTAAACCCCAACAAATGTGCCTTCGGCGTAGGCTCTGGCAAATTCTTAGGTTTCATGATTAGCCAACGAGGCATTGAAGCTAATCCCGAGAAGATCAAAGCAATCCTCGACATGAAGGAACCGGTAACTTCAAAAGGACATCCAGAGCCTTACTGGCAAGGTGGCAGCCTTAACCAGGTTCATTTCTAAGGCCACAGACAAATGTGCTCCCTTTTTTAAAGCACTTAAGGGAAGTAGGAAGTACATTACATGGACTGATGAATGTGCCGAGGCATTCAAAAACCTCAAGGAGTACATGAGTAAAGCCCCTCTACTCTCCAAGCCCGAGGTAGGAGACATTCTCATTATCTACCTATCGGTATCAGCTTCAGCCGTAAGTTCCGTTCTCATTCGAAAGGATGGGAATATTGAGCGACCTGTCTACTACGCTAGCAAAGCCTTACAAGATGCGGAGACACGGTACTCTAACATTGAGAAATTGGCTCTGGCATTGGTCATGTCTGCTCGAAAACTCCGCCCTTACTTCCAAGCGCACTCCATCATCGTGCTTACCAATTATCCTCTTCGACAGATACTCCAAAGTCCTGACACTTCAGGGCGAATGATCAAATGGGCAATAGCGTTGGGTGAGTTTGACATCTCCTACCAACCAAAGCCAGCTGAGAAGGGCCAAGCAGTGGCAGACTTCATTGCCGACTTCACATATCCGGTTGACATTGCTTCTACACCTGAA